CGCCCCTTGACTGGAATCGAACCTGGGACCCTTCAGTCCACAGGCTGATGCTCTATCCACTAAGCCATACCCTGCTAGGGCAGCTTGGTTCATTTTTAACTGTAAAAATCAAAGGTAGGCCCGGCAGGCATAGGTCAGTGGATGAGTGTCGAACCATGAACCAGGAGGTCATGGTTTGATTCCTGGTCAGGGCACATACTGGGCTTGTAGACTCATTCCCCAGTGTGGGGCGTGCAAGAGGCAGCCAATCAATGATTCTCTCTCATCATTGATGTTTCTCTCTCTCTCTCCTTTTCCCTCTCCCTTTCCCTTCCTCTCTGAATAAAAAATATCTCAAAAATTTTTTACAAAATATCAAAGCTAGCACTGTCTTCATAGTATAAAACAAATAAAAAGCTAAAGACTCTAAGGTCGTAAATTTCCTTTAATGGAAAAAAAATCTCAAAACATCTCAGTAAGCAAAAATCTTTAAAAGTCGGTCACAAAGGTATCTGACATTATCAAGTATCAAACCATCTAATTTGTACTTTAACAAGTACATTCTTAAGATATTCCTTAGGACATTCATTACATTCAGCCCTTATGACTTGTTTCAGTCTCCAACCTCTACCCCTCTCCCCAAATACTTTTCAAAAATCTCCTAAATGGAAATTAGATGTGATACAAGTAACCTCAAATCTTTAGAAATGGAAACCTGCAGCCCAAAATTACCAAGATCTGCTGCCTATGGATCTGACCAATAAAAACCAAAGAACTGAAACAAGTCTCATCAACATCCTCTACCACACGAAAAAGTGAGCACTGACTCAAAAGTTACGTATTTTATTAATTAAGTCAACAAATATTGTGTGTCTACTGTGTTCAAAGCACTATACTAGGCACTGATAATACAAGTACCAACAAGATATAGACAATACCTGGGCCCTCATGGAACTTCCATTCTAATGAGGAAGAGAATCCAACAAAAAGTAAAAACACTGATATAACCCAATACTGATCTGAATTCTACCAAGCAATTTTATTCTCATGGCCCATTTTACTGCATATTATGATCTTAAAACCATGTCATTCAATCCGCTTAGTTTCTTCAAACTACACTTGTAATTATGCTTATTAAAATGAAAACTAATTTTGTGACTCATTAATTTTGAAACCTTAGCTCTGAATATGTAATATACAATATACCCTTCTCAAGAGAATTTAAAAATTAGCTGCCAGGTATTCATAGCAGCACTATTCAACATCAATGGGTGAATGTATAAACAAATTGGGGAATATATACAATAGAATGTTATTCAGCCATAGAAAGGAATGCAATACAACATGGTTGAACCACAAAAACATTATAAGTGAAAGAAGCCAGACACAAAAAGTCACATATGTATGATTCCATTTATATGAAATATCCAGAAGAGGTAAATCCATACAGACAGATCCCAGATTAGGGACTGGGTTACCAGGAATTGGAGAGGATCAGGGAGAATAAGGAACAACTATTTAATGGGTTCAGGGTTTCCTTTTTGGGGTGATGGAAATATTTTAGAACTAGCCTGGCGGGTGTGACTCAGTGGTTGAGCATCACCAGGAAATAATTGTTCAATCCCTGATCAAGGCATATGCCTAGGTTGCCAGCTGGATCCCCAGTAGGGGCGTGCAGGAGGCAGCCACTGATGATTCTCTCTCATCATTGATGTCTCTATCTCTATCTCCCTCTCCCTTCCTCTCTCTGAAATATACATACACACACGAACTAGAGGTAGTAATTGCACAACATTGTGAATGATGTATTGCCACTGAATCATTAACTTTAAAATGGTTTATGTCATGTGCATTTTGCCTTAATTAAAAAAAACTTTTAAAAAGTAGCTACTAGATTAGTTTAAAGTGAACTTTTTTTGTCACAAATAAAATTGCTCAAATTTAACTTTAGAAATTTTCGTTATAGATCAAGTTTCAAACCTTAACACCTTCTAAGACCCATATTAATATCAAAATGATCATGTGGGCTTTTTTGGCAAAAATAAATAAATAAAAACCATTTTTTTTGGTCCTGGCCGGTGTGGCTCAGTTTTTTGGGCATCGTCCCATGCACCAAAAGGCTGTCAGTACAATTCCTGGTCAGGGCACATGCCCAGGCTTCAGCCTCCATCTCCAGCAGAGCACCTGCAGGAGACGAGGTACCTCATCAATGTTTCAATCTCACACTGATGTTTCTCTCTCTCTCTCTCTCTCTCTCTCTCTCTCTGTACAATTCAATTTTTAAAAATCTTTTTAAAATCATTTCTTAAAAAGCTGTTTTGCCTGGCCGGCATGGCTCAGTAGTTGAGCATCACCTATGAACGAGGAAGTCATGGTTCAATTCCCTGTCAGGCACATGCATGGGTTGTGGACTCAATCCCCAGTGTGGGGTGTGCAGGAGGCAGGCAATCAATGATTCTCTCTCATCAATGATGTTTCTCTCTCTCTCCCTCTCTTAAATCAATAAAAAGTATATTTTCTAAAAAAAGCTGTTTTGATGGGTTTTGAATGTTATGCAGTATTTTGGATGTACATAAAATTCCTATTTACATGATGATACTCCTTTATTACTCACATGTTTCATTAATATTTATTTATTTATTTGGGGGTGGTGCTGAGTAGAGAAGGCCTTAGAAATAGACCCTGAGCTGATCAATCCTGATAACTTCAGATAAACTCAGCTTTGTGACTTGTCTATATCCCAATACCCCAGCTCACTCTGGGCTGCCTGCCTCTGTTTGCTGTTTAACCTAGACCCCAACCTGGTTAACATCTTGACAGATCATAGACTTGGTATATAAATATTTGGCATATGATGTGCTCTAAATGAAGTTTGTGCCCATTAAGTTTGCTGACATCACCAACTGTTTACCTTCTTTTCAATGAAAATACTCAAGGTAATTTGAGTATTTTAGGTACAACTCAATGCCGCCATCTCCAGAAATACAACTCTCTCCCTTTCTACCTCTATTAAACCAGAACCACCATTCGGTCGGCCTGTGGCTCAGCAGCAGAGTGATTTGGGTATGTGGCCCCTCAGCCCCAATTCCCACGCTCCTGGAGGGGCGTCGGTCCTTTCTGCGCCTATCACCACACGACAGAGTCTCTAACAGCACCTTCCACACAATCGGTGCTCAAGTGACGTCAGTGGCATTGATAACTATAAATAACTATTGTAAGTTATTTATTATGTTGAAAAGACATCTAACGTGTAGAGACTAAATGGACTGATTAAAAAAACAGCCCAGAGAATCCTTATGACTCACATTCAAATACGTTTTTTCAATGCAACTCTACAGACCACTGTTGAGCATCAATATGAACGTGAGGTAATTCACCTAATACCCGTAAAGAATAAAGAGGGATTAGTCTTAATCCACCTCCCCTTTAAAGTTCGCCTTACGTATGTAATAGGGAAAGCGAACTTAATGAACCACCGTATTTAAAACCAGGTCACCGGAGAGCTCTAGGTCCCCAGCCATCCTGTTTCTATTTCCTGACGGGTCTGACCTCCATGCATTATTGTGCCCAGCCTGCCCAGCTCACCATCTCCTTTAAACCATCTTCTGGGGTGAACTTTTTCTTAAAATAAAATTGACTTCCAGAACTTTCAACAGTTATGAACAAAGCACCCCACTTACTCCTGATCTTCCGAAACACTTTGCTTAAGAAAACACACACACACACACACCTAGTTTTCACAAAGTCCCGTTATAAGTTACACCTCGAAGTAAAAGTGGACCATAAACTTGCACAAGTGGAACTTAACACAAGAGCATTCCTCTCCCAGCAAAAGCAGGCTTCACGACGTGTGCACGCATTTTAGAGAGCTCCTAACGCTTCAAGAATGCGCATCTTTCAAATAAAGATGTGTAAAGACTCGGAAGAGATGAAAAACCAAGTGCGCTTACACTTCACAGGGGCCACATTCTCTCCGCACCACGCGACGCCGGAAGCCCCCTGGGCAGGGGGGCCCCCGACCCTCGGCCTCCGAACCCCCCAGGAGTCCGACTGGCCCCGGGCGTCCCGCAGTCGACTTCCCCGCTCGCTCGTTCGCTACGAGCCAAGCCCGCGCCACTTCCACGTCGCTGCGACCCGCACGCCTCCTCGGCGATTTAAATCCGCTCTTCACTCACCACACGCACGCAGACACGGTGTCACCAGACACCGGACGAGCAAAGGACCAGGGAGAGGGTGAGCTCGTGCGAGCAAGAAGAGGAACGGACGCTCCTCCGTCCCGCCCGGCCCGGCACCCACCTGCAGGCCGCGAGCCCGGAGGCGGCGGCGCCGGCGCCCCTTCCTCGCCAAAGACGAGTTTGAAGTCGAGCTCGTCGTGGGCGCCACAGTTTGCAGTAGTCATCGGCGTGGCCCAGGGTGCTGTGGCTCCTCAGGCGGCGGCAGCGACGGGGGCAGCTACAGCGGCGACAGCTCCTCAGCGCCGCTT